ACAATTCCTGGAAGCTGAAAATGTCCCAGTTCTTCCATGGCCTGCATACTCACCAGACATGTCACCCACTGAGCATGTTTGGGATGCTCTGGATCAATGTGTACGACAGCGTGTTCCAGTTCCCGCCAATATCCAGCAACTTCACACAGCCATTGAAGAGGATTGGGACAACATTCCACAGGCCACAATCAACAGCCTGATCAACGCTATGCGAAGGAGATGTGTCGCGATGAATGAGGCAAATGGTGATCACACCAGATACTGACTGGTTTTCTGATCCACGCCCCTCCCTTTTTTTCCCAAGGTATCTGTGACCAACAGATGCATATCTGTATTCCCAGTCATGTGAAATCCATAGATTTCCTTATATGAACTGTAACTCAGTAAAATCTTTGAAATTGTTGCATGTTGCGTTTATATTTTTGTTCAGTATAAGTCAAGCGAGACCATTTACAGCAAACTGTTGGGTCATATACAAATCTAACTCAAGCAGGACCATTTACTGCAAACTGTTGGGTCATATACAAATCTATGTACAGCTATCTCACAGTCCTGACCTACATAAAATATTGAATGCAAATAAGCATAATTGTTCCCACATAAAATAGCTAAGCTAATTCTTTATTCTTTATTTGGATCCCCTTTAGCTGTCGCCTAAACCTTACTACAAGCTCTACGCAGACGCAAGATTCGGAGTGTCACAATGTCGTTTATCGGCATTCAACGTGTTTTTTTACTACCTGAAAATTGAGACATGCCGTGGGGGCAGTGTTGTCGCTTGGTTCCTTGGTCTGATCTATAGGCGATTCATCAAAGTAGCCTATTTTGCATTGATAACCAAATATAATCTCAGCAATTGTTCAAACAGTAAACCAAACAACAAGAATCCTCCCAAAAAGGTATTTTGTTTAAAAGTAATAACTACTGATTACAGGCTATTGTAAAATGTTAGAACCTGCTGCAGCCAACTAGCAATCCATGTGCTTTTTTTCTGGTGACCAAAACATGACGTTCTATTTTTAGCTGATTTGGGAATGAATACACAAGCAGCATATCAAACTGGGAAAAAGTTTTAGGTTACACCGGCAAGTATAAGAATATTTGTCAGGGCATAATTAAAAATATTATCAATCAGATTATTTCACATGGCGATATGGGAAGCTAAAAAGGCTAGTTAGCTTGCTATGTTTTTAGCCAGGCTAAGGCTAGCCCAAAGGCCAGCAGATGGCGATATTGATCTGGTATTGATGGTTTCATCTTACCGCCCAAACGCATTGTATGCAGCCGTAAATACACTCGTATCCCCCGTGGACCGGTTTGTAACCTAAAACATTCTCCATTCAGGCTGCAAAGGCATCAATTTTCTACTAATGGTGAGAAGGCGGAAGAAAACGTGGAAAATACGTGTACTCCCTTTAAGCATCAGTTGTCAGAGCACCTTACCGATCACTGTACCTGTACACAGCCCATCTGAAATTAGCCAACCCAACTACCTCATCCCCATATTGTTATTTATTTTGCTCATTTGCACCCCAGTATCTCTATTTGCACATCATCTCTTGCACATCTATCATTCCAGTGTTAATACTAAATTGTAATTATTTTGCACTATGGCCTATTTATTGCCTTACCTCCATAACCTGCTACATTTGCACACACTGTATATATATTTTCTGTTGTATTTTCGACTTTATGTTTTGTTTACCCCATATGTAATTCTGTGTTGTTGTTTTTTATCGCACTGCTTTGCTTTATCTTGGCCAGGTCGCAGTTGTAAATGAGAACTTGTTCTCAACTGGTTTACCTGGTTAAATAAAGGTTTAAAAAATAATGTTTTAAATGAAACACCGTTTGGCTAATGCTACTTCCTGATGTTGCGCCCTGCGTTCAGCCAAGGGTAAACAACAGGCTGCTGCAAATTGATTGGCTGAACGCGATACGCAACATCCGGGAATAGCATTCCTAGGCATTAGACACTTTAGTATGGTGGTGGAAAATTGTGTTTCATAAAGAAAGTATGCATAGTTTCCCTGTTTTTTTCAGCCTTCTCACCATTAAATCTATTTAAGGAGGAAATCGACACCTTTGCTGCCTGATTGGAGAATGTTTTAGGTACAAAGCGGTCCGCAGGGGATACGAGTGTATTGCCGGCTGCATACAATGCGTTTGGACGGTAAAATGGAAACGACTCAATATCGCCCTCTGCCGGCCTTTGGGCTAGGCTAAAGCCAGCTAGCCAGGCTGCCAGCTAGCTACTACTTGCAAGGGAAGGCGACTCTTCCTTGTTTTCATAAAATGAAAAGACCTTCAGAGACTGCTAGTCTTCCTGGGGTCCAAAGAGCAAATATTATGTTTGTACACTCGTGAAATAGGTATTTGAAATAGGTATTTTGGGTACAGCAAATAAGTCTGCCAAATATGATATATGCAGTCTCTTTTCAAATTATATCAATATGTAAACTGGAAAATGTCAAGGCCTGAATCTATAGCACACTCCAAAATAACCTCCCCTTTAGTTCCTCCGGGTCAATCCTATTTTACCAGGAATTACATACAGTGGCTTGCGAAAGTATTCACTACCCTTCGCTATTTTGTTGCCTTACAACCTGGAATTAAAATAGATTTTTGGGGGGGTTGTATCATTTGAATTACACAACATGCCTACCACTTTGAAGATGCAAAATATTTTTCATTGTGAAACAAACAAGAAATAAGACACAAAAACAGAAAACTTGAGCGTGCATAACTATTCACCCCCCACCCCCACCAAAGTCAATACTTTGTAGAGCCACTTTTTGCAGCAATTACAGCTACAAGTCTCTTGGGGTATGTCTCTGTAAGCTTGGCACATCTAGCCACTTGGATTTTGGCCCATTCTTCAAGGCAAAACTGTTCCAGCTCCTTCAAGTTGGATAGGTTCCGCTGGTATACAGCAATCTTTAAGTATACCACAGATGCTCAATTGGATTGAGGTCTGTGCTTTGACTAGGCCATTCCAAGACATTTAAATGTTTCCCCTTAAACCACTCGAGTGTTGCTTTAGCAGTATGCTTAGGGTCATTGTCCTGCTGGAAGGTGAACCTCCGTCCCAGTCTCAAATCTCTGGACGACTGAAACAGGTTTCCCTGTATTTAGCGCCATCCATCAGTCCTTCAATTCTGACCAGTTTCCCAGTCCCTGCCGATGAAAAATCGGATGGTGTTCTCGGGTGATGAGAGGTGTTGGGTTTGCGCCAGACGTAGCGTTTTCCTTGATGGCCAAAAAGCTCAATTTTAGTCCCATCTGACCAGAGTACCTTCTTCCATATGTTTGAGGAGTTTCCCACATGCCTTTTGGCAAACACCAAACGTGTTTGCTTATTTTTTTCTTTAAGTAATGGCTTTTTTTCTGGCCACTCTTCCGTAAAGCCCAGCTCTGTGAAGTGTGCGGCTTAAAGTGGTCCTATGGACAGATACTCCAATCTCCGCTGTGGAGCTTTGCAGCTCCTTCCGGGTTATCTTTGGTCTCTTTGTTGCCTCTCTGATTAATGCCCTCCTTGCCTGGTCCGTAAGTTTTGGTGGGCGGCCCTCTCTTGGCAGGTTTGTTGTGGTGCCATATTCTTTCCATTTTTAATAATGGATTTAATGGTGCTCCGTGGGATGTTCAAAGTTTCTGATATTTTTTAATAATCCATCCCTGATCTGTACTTCTCCACAACTTCGTCCCTGACCTGTTTGGAGAGCTCCTTGGTCTTCATGGTGCCGCTTGCTTGGTGGTGCCCCTTGCTTAGAGGTGTTTCAGACTCTGGGGCCTTTCCGAACAGGTGTATATATACTGAGATCATGTGACACTTTGACTGCACACAGGTGGACTTTATTTAACTAATTATGTGACTTCTGAAGGTAATTGGTTGCACCAGATCTTATTTAGGGGCTTCATAGCAAAGGGAGTGAATACATATGCACGCACCACTTTGCTGATATTAATTTTTTAGTTCTTTTTTTCATTTCACTTCACTAATTTGGACTATTTTGTGTATGTCCATTACATGAAATCCAAATAAAAATCTATTTAAATTACAGTTTGTAATGCAACAAAATAGGAAAAAGAGGGATGAATAATTTTGCAAGGCACTGTACTACAGACCACACCTCTGATAGTGACAATTAAATCCTTATACTTTTCATTCTAAGTAAGGCCTGGTTTTGAGAACAATCCTACCCAATTCACTGCCTTCTGTTGGATTGACTGCATTTCTAAGTGGATTCATATCTACAGTAACTAACCCAGGAGAAACGTTTGACAGCTTGGGCTGCTTCAGGCTGGCTTTGCCACTAGCATGCCAGGGCCAAATGAGCATGTGTCCACCTGTAATGACTGGACACTAGAGCACTAAAACCCACATTTGGAGAAGACTCTGGCCCTGTGCTCATGCACAAGTTCATTACATTCAGGACAGCGTGAGCTCCCGCAGCACTTCCAGCGTTTCCTTTGTTTGCTCTGCCTTCGATTGGGCTCTTTTTAAATGGGAGCTCATATGTGTGTTACATAAACACTTGCGACAGAGTAATTAGAGAAAAGCCAGTTTCTCTGGGACATTGACAAATGCAGGTTATAAAGCTACTGTGATCCAGACAGTAGAAAAGGGACTGAGGGGGTTCGAAGGGGACTGAATGAAGATGAACATTTGTCAGAATAACTTGGGTTGGAAGGATTTGGCAAAGGAAGGTTCAGTGCTGCTTCAATGGCACAAGATAACTGTTTTATTTGAAGGGTTATATTACTGTAGAGCCCAGAAGTGTTACACTACATCAAGTCCATTGTATGATACATCAGCAATTTAACAAAGTCAGCAATGGTAACAAAGCAAGATATGGCCAACCATTACGAAAGCCAAGTTAAGACACACACACACACACACCAGCACCCCTACTTTAACATGAAAACATAATTCTTAATAATGTGCACTGTCTCTGTCAACTAAATGACATTAATAAATTCATACATTCACAGCCTCTTTTTCACACTACGCAGCTTGTGAAGGAGGTGATGGCCCACCTGTAGAAGTAGGAGCAGCCTCTCACTGTGTTGTGTGTGAAGTGTTCTTGGCTTTTCTCGTTCCCAAAGTCTTCCAGGGGGTCTGACCACAGCAGGTCACACATGGGCCCGTATGCAGGGGGCTCTTTGAATCTGTCTAACTGCAGAGACAGAGGTACAGAGTTAGGAGAGACAGGGAAAGACAATGTCAATCAGTCAGGAAAATGTCTCATCTATCAGGAAACTGAGTCGGTTTAGCTTCCTCAATAGGTTGGTGTAGTGATACCTATGGGAAAGGGTTTGTTTTTGTAATTGTAAATTACTTGAAACGGATCTTGATTTGACAGTTAGTTTTGCTACATTGAACTGTGATTACAGTAAAACTTAGAATGAAATCCCAAGTTCAAGAACATTGCGAAACGGTGGCACTCCAATATCATATTTTCTTTTTACTAAAAGACATCACCTCATTTCACCCTTTTATTTTCAGTCAGGCAGGCTAACGCATTTCGGCAGTTATGCCTTCATCAGAGCATGTTACAGTAAAACTGTTGGTAGGGTCTCTGTCCTACCACAGTACAACATCTCTGTGTGAAAGAAACCCACAACATGTAATTGGATGGACTGGATGACAATTTGTGCCTATTATGAGTATGAAACATGAATAGATATTTTCAATCTTGACAATAATAATATTTCCACCTTGGAAATGGGATGAAAAGCTACAAATTAAAGTGATCAGCCAAAAGCTCATGACTCAGAGAAAGTATATACCAGGGTTGGGGTCAATTCCATTTCAATTCCAGTCAATTCAGAAAGTAAACCAAATTCCAATTCCAATTCAATTAATTGGAATTTGAGTTGGAATTTCATTGTGCTTCCTGAATTGACTGGAATTTAAATGGAATTGACCCCAACCCTGGTACAGTAAATACTGTAGCATAATGTACACGTCAATAGTGCAGATTTGATATCGGAGACCATCTGATTGCGGCCACAAAATCCAATTGTCGCTATTGAATTTGAGAGAAAGCAGGATCGAACTATTCAAAATGTTTAATCAGAGACAGCCAGATTGGGTTAGCTTGGGGCATCTTTGAGAAGGAGGTAGTCCATGTTGTGTTATCGAGGTAATTCATTTCTAAATATTTCAAGGGAAATTGTAAAGACTATTTCCTTGAACAGCAAAAAGGAAAAATGAAACAAGCTCTGTGTAAACCTAATTGTATCCTAATGTATGTGCCTTTCACATTATAATAAAATCCACTTGAATGAATGGATTATGGATTATCCTTCTTATACCGAACACCCATTACACTTGAATGAAACCTGGACATGACTGATATATTCATACACTAAATAAACGATACAATATCAATATCCCAAGTATCCATGATTTTAATATTTTGCTACTGGGAAAAAGAGGGGATCATTCTGAATTTAGTAGTCTGTGTAAAATGTACCAAAGTCGGCACAAATTAAAAGCATATTGCATTGGGCTTTGTCATGCAAGGACTGTAGTTTGGGAAATCACGTACTTTCCTGATGTCGTCGAGGTTTGAGATTTCTGGGGAAAGTCCTCCGTGTACACACAGGAACTGCTGGTTCATAAGGGCGGCCAAGGGAAGGCAGTCGAAGGCGTCCATACACTCATCGTACACCCGCTCAGAATACTTAATTCTACCTGTCAGGGTGGAAATAGGGCGGGGACTGAAGAGTGTTGCCAGGCCAAACACCCCTGGCTCTTACACACTAGGGCAGTGTGCTGGGCCTGGGTCGGAAAGTTTTCAAAAAGTGTCCGAAAACATCCAAAAGACATAAAAAACCTTCACTCTGCCCTTGGTATTTTGGTTATACTCTAAGCCCGAATCCAACAGCAATAGCCCTGACATATGTAAATACATATCAAGGAGAGAGCAAGAATCTGATTTCATACTATGCCAAGAAGCACTTTTCTGCGTGAACGTTTGAAAGTCAAGCATCGCATTGAATGTAAAATGCTTTAGAAAAAAAAACTCAAACCATACTTACATTCCTGCTTAAATGTGAAATACTCTGTTAGATGTCTACATTCGTGGTTCCCACGGAGCAAAAATAGTGTTTTGGGGTATAGGATCTTTAAGGCCCACAAGTACAGCACACACTGGAAGAGTGAGAGAATAACAAAGAGATAAGAAATGAATTAGCATATTTTCAGAGAAGAAATACAATACACTATAACCAATTGGAGTCTCAGAAAAAAAAGCATCAACCACTTCCTTCTTTAACTTAAAGGATTATGCCAAACGCATCATACTGTGACACTTTCTGTATTTTGAAAGTTCTATATCTTGAAAACTTGATTGTTGACATGCAAAACATTTTGGGACTATATCAACAATGGACTAATGAAACAAATACCAAATATAGTTTTTGTGTGGAATTTTCCTTTAATGTTCTTAGAACAGGTGAAACACTTACTTCAATACTGAAATATCCTCTGTCGACGTAGTCGCCCAAGAAAAGGTAGCGCGTGCTAGCTGGTGACCCTCCTACTTCAAACAGCTTCATCAGGTCAAAGAACTGGCCATGGATGTCTCCGCAAACTACAGGAAACACACAGAGGAGGAAATCGTCAGAAACAAACAAAGACGTCGTACAACACTTGACTTTCATATTCTAAACATTTGCTTTGTCTTCTTTAAAAGTGCAGTTTTCCTGTGCTGTAAAAATATTATTATGAATGTAAATATGAATTTTAATATCCATTTATTATTACACTTTTGTTTGTGGTACCATAATTCATGTACATGGACCCAGGACAAAAAGAGGGCATTGTGACAATTGTTCCTCCTAATACATAAACATCATCATCACATTGATCATTATCATAAACCACCCTCTGAAGCCAAGTGGCACAATAGCTTTTATTTACGGGGGCAATTATGTGTTAATATATACCCTGTTCCAATACACACTGCAACTGCTACTCTCACCTAACAAGCAGAAAGGTTTCAACTCAAAGCATGTTTCATACAATTAGCCTAGAGAGGATTTGCAAACGCGAAGTGTCTTCTGTTTCTGTATTGTATGTCGCCAGCCAATTGAACCTGGGCCAACTGGTACAAAAATGTGTTGTCTCGCCTGCATCCCTTCATAATACATGCATCATGCATAAAACATGTGAACCGAGACACTATGTGTTGCATTACAGTGGCTTGCAAAAATAATTCACCCCCCTTCGCATTTTTCCTATTTTGTTGCCTTACAACCTGGAAGTAAAATTGATTTTTGGGGGGTTTGTATCATTGGATTTACACAACTTGCCTACCACTTTGAAGATGCAAAATATTTTTGATTGTGAAACAGAAAACTTGAGCGTGCATAACTATTCACCCCCCCCCCCCAAAGGCAATACTTTGTAGAGCCACTTTTTGCAGCAATTACAGCTACAAGTCTCTTGGGGTATGTCTCTATAAGCTTGGCACATCTAGCCACTGGGATTTTTGCCCATTCTTCAAGGCAAAACTGCTCCAGCTCCTTCAAGTTGGATGGGTTCCACTGGTGTACAGCAATCTTTAAGTCATACCACAGATTCTCAATTGGATTGAGGTCTGGGCTTTGACTAGGCCATTCCAAGACATTTAAATGTTTCCCCTTAAACCACTCGAGTGTTGCTTTAGCAGTATGCTTAGGGTCATTGTCCTGCTGGAAGGTGAACCTCCGTCCCAGTCTCAAATCTCTGGAAGACTGAAACAGGTTTCCCTCAAGAATTTCCCTGTATTTAGCGCCATCCATCATTCCTTCAATTCTGACCAGTTTCCCAGTCCCTGCCGATGAAAAACATCCCCACAGCATGATGCTTCACTGTGGGGATGGTGTTCTCGGGGTGATAAGAGGTGTTGGGTTTGCGCCAGACATAGCGTTTTCCTTGATGGCCAAAAAGCTAAATTTTTGTCTCATCTGACCAGAGTACCTTCTTCCATATGTTTGGGGAGTGTCCCACATGCCTTTTGGCAAACACCAAACGTGTTTGCTTATTTTATCTTTAAGCAATAACTTTTTTCTGGCCACTCTTCCGTAAAGCCCAGCTCTGTGGAGTGTGCGGCTTAAAGTGATCCTATGGACATATACTCCAATCTCCGCTGTGGAGCTTTGCAGCTCTTTCAGGGTTATCTTTGGTCTCTTTGTTGCCTCTCTGATTAATGCCCTCCTTGCCTGGTCCGTGAGTTTTGGTGGGCGTATATATACAGGTGTATATATACTGAGATAATGTGACAGATCATGTGACACTTAAATAAAGTCCACCTGTGTGCAATCTAACTAATTATGTGACTTCTGAAGGTAATTGGTTGCACCAGATCTTATTTAGGGGCTTCATAGCAAAGGGGGTGAATACATATGCACGCACCACTTTTCCGTTATTTATTTCTTTGAATTTTTTGAAACAATTTTTTTTTTTTTTTCTCACTCCACCAATTTGGACAATTTTGTGTATGTCCATTACATGAAATCCAAATAAAAATCCATTTAAATTACAGGTTGTAATGCAACAAAATAGGAAAAACGCCAAGGGGGATGAATACTTTTGCAAGGCAGTTCTGCTTTGCATAAACAATGTAAGCAGGCCCAGGGCAGAATCCCACTCGAAATACCCTCTGACCAATAACTAGCCTGCACCACAAATCAACATGACCAAACCCACTATTATATTTTACTTTTTACATAATCTCTTAGCATTAGAAATATGACTTTGCCAGACCTAATTTTCTAGATGAATGCAACACCTTCCCAGAATGTTGGATCCTACTCACACCAAGAAGGACCACTGTAATGTAAAGGGAGATACAGCAAGGCTGGCTATCAACAAACAAACAAACAAACAAACAAACAAACAAACAAACAAACAAACAAACATGGGACAAATAAGGTCCATATTCTTTCTGTTACAGTGGAATTTAGAGTGGCCTAATGTTTTGTCACAGTAAAATGCTTTATTCTCAGTGTATGATTAGTATAAGACTCAGTCTTCAATAACCCAATAACCTTTTGAATTGGCAATTTTAGTCTTACAAGCATCTATGGAAACACTGATGTACATTGATATCCCATTGATGTACATTGATATCCCATTGTTAGCGAGGTGGTATCATGAGATAACATGAAAAATGTATCAATAAAGCTGTCATTCAGCCATAGATCCTATCAACATTATTTCTCAGACTGAGTGGCATCTTTAATAGAATGTCTCAGTATGACGTGTCACTTCCCTGTGCTTTTTATTCATAGAAATCTGAAAGGAACGTCATTTGTACAGCCTATTATTCTATTGCTAAGGAACAAAATTCTGCTATTATTATTATGTTATTATGGAGGAACAAAATGTATCCCAATACCTGTATAGATCTCAACTCTAGAGTGTTGTTCTTGTCTGCAATTGTATGGCAATGTGCAGTATCAAAAATGTACTGTATACTCGACTCCCTCCCCGCCGTCATAACAGAGGGACTTGGGCACATTTATTTCCTTTGATGTTAATCACATCCCCACCCCACCTATCCATCAATCACTACAGTCAACCACCCAACATGACCCACATTGTTACTGGGCTGACTCAATTTCTCCATGAAATCAGGGATTGCCATTTGCCACTCTGACCCCGTTCACCACTGCTCCCCGGAGAGCCAAGGAGCCACATCCCACAGGGCCTTCAGACATTTGTCACCTGCTAGCCACACACTGACAGCGAGCATGCTGGGACTGCGATTACAGAACACAGACCAGCCAGGAACGACCTAGTCCTAGTCATTTCTTTGCATTGCAGTGCCCTGTGTTGAATGTCATATCCAGCTGTAAGTCAGAACCTTCATGACCAACCAATCATATTTTATATTATTATACAAAGAATTCCCTGATTGATTTGATCAAAACATGTTTGTTTGTTATTCTGAGTGTGTGTGCTATTCACAAATATTGGTTGATAATTCCCTCTCCATTTTTCTAACCTTACATTTCAGTGAGAAAATGTTCAACAACATTAGCATTCATGTTAACAATTGATACACTGATACACAGTAGCAAAAGCCAACATCAGCCAACTACTCTGTACTGGAACACAGTTGCTAAAGCACTGATAGGCCTACTAATTTGGTCCTTGGTAATGAATATCAAAACCATCCTTCACAAACGCTATCCACTTATTTGTTTACATGTGTCTTTAAGCCTGTGTCTAATGACAGAGAGTAAACTCGTAGAAATGTCTTGAAGACAGTTCCAATTATCATATGTTGGATGACTGCATTGGAAAGTAATTAGCTCGAGTTACAAGCCCCTCGAGACACGAGGAAGAGAAGAGAGAATCTGTTCTACGCATATGCATCGTAAACTCTCATTTTGTCATTTTGTCTTGGAAGATTACCACTCTTTTCAAATTGTTTAATTTCTGGATTTAGACTTAGTTAATTTCTGGATTTAGACTTAGGGTTAGACTCAAAGGGTTCTAATTTCTAAAGTGCTCCCTTCCCCTCCCAAAATCAACTGTAGGTTAGGTCACACTTTATTTGGATGGTCCGGATAGTCCATCTGTAGATCTACAGATGGTCATACTATCAACAAACTATCTGTTGATAAGCAACTGCTTGCTAAAGTTACGGTTAGGGTTAGAATAAGGGTAAGGGTAAGGGTTAGTATAAAAGTTAAGGTTACGGTTAGGGTTAGAATAAGGGTTAGGATGAAGTTTAGGGTTAGGATAAGGGTTAAGGTTAGGGTTAGAGCTAGGGTTAGGGTTAGTTGATAGTTAGTTGAAATGTTATTGGTAGTCTATAGAGCATCTACAGATGGACTATCCAAATTAAGTGTTACCGTATGTTGTTACAAATGATATTCCATTCAAATAGTCTATTCATGCGGTCTGAGAAGCAGCTCACTGTGCTAAGTGGATGTTCAATCTCGCTTACTACAACAATGTGAATTATAGAAAGTAAAAATCCCTCTCATTCATAGCTTATTGGTTTCTGGGGGTTTCTCAGCCAGCACTGTACAGACCATGATCACCATTATATTGCATGTTGTAACCTACAGCACTATTGTAAGCAATAGTATAACTGTAAATCAATGCAAGCAAAGTCTATATGATGGACTTGCGATAGCACATACTAAAGCCTCAGAACCATGTCTGGTGAATTACTGGTTAGTTTCTGGTCAATGAAGAATGGATGTACACCTGAACAAAACCAGCCAAGTCACCCGTGATACAAGTCATTATTCGACGTCCATCCATGTCTGAGGACTTCGGGGGATGACGTGGAAACTGGCCATGAGGGACAAGAGTGAGTGCTGTTACCTTCAAGTAGGTTTTGGATTTGCTAGGGTGTTGTGGACGTGGATGGTGGATGGGCGTAAGCGTTGCCAAAGGTTGCATGTTCGAATCCAGCGATATGTTTTTATTTTCTATTTTTGCTAACCCTATCCCAAACCCTTACCTTAACCATCCGGAGTAATACCTAATATTTAGCAGTTAATGCCTAAACTTAACCTTAAACTCACTCACTCACTCACTGCAGTGGTCGGGAGAGGTCGTGTTTTCTCTAGCAGGAGGTAAGCTTGGCTTCTTATATGGTGTTGAGTAAAGCTTAAACCATGTATTTAGATTGTAGGTAGGTAGTTGTAGTTAGGTA